CTTTCTCATTCTAATGCTGAAGCGGAAAGAATTTTTCTAATAGTTACAGATATCAAACTAAAAAAAGAAATCAATTATCAAACGAAACTGTTTCCGCGATTTGTATTATACGTTCTAGTTTTCAAGCTGAAGGCATTAATTGTACAAATTTTGAAATTGATTCCGGGCATTTAAAATTACACAATTTGCAAAATTTATATGGAAAACCAGGCAGTTCATCTGATGGTTCTTAATGCTTTTATGTTTAATATATTTTTTTGTGCAATTTCAGTGCAATTTTTCATATTTATTTTGTAAATATTATTTATTTTTTTTTGCATAACAGACACATCTAGCCAATAATTTTTAGTTGCATGTTAGTTATATAGATAAAATTATTAATATTGTTATGTTTTTCAGATTTTAATATATTTTTTATTTAACATAATGTGATATTACATAAAATGTGATACATATATTAGTACCTGACGAAAGCCATGCAATATTATTTTTATTTTTATTAACTGTGCATTTTATTTTTATTAATTAAAGATTTTAATAAGCAAGTTAATTAAAGATCACATGGCTGCCAAAATTTTTTATTTCTACAATTGTATTTGTATTTTTATATTATGTTTATATTTTTATTTTAAATATATATTTATTATTAATTAATGAATATTATTTTTGTTGTATAAATACTGGTAAGGTTTTAAGCAGTTTTCCTTACCCTTGCAACGAATGTTGGTATTTTTTGAGATCTCTGCTAAATAAAAGATTTTAATTTTATTTATGTAAAAAGTGTTTTATTTGAAGAATATATAATTTTTCCCCTTTATTTCTTCCTTTTTATTATAATTAATATTTAGAAAATATTTAATATATATACATATATCTTATTATATCTATATTTTATTTTTAAATACATTTTTTTTTAATTTTGAAATATTTTAAATGTAGGGGGATAACGACGCCTTGTTTAACTCGTATGAGATACTATACTGACGCCGTATTGTCGCACATGCGCGTACAACCGGTCCCATATCGCAACACTGTGTATCATGCGCATAATGAAACGAAACGCAGCCAATGCGCTAAGCATTAGCGATGCGAACGATGCGTGCTATGCGCAAAAACGGAACGCAACCTTAGTAATCACCACACATAGAACTCACTATTTGCGTATGTGTGAAAAATGAAAGTCAGATCCTGCGCACAATAAACAAAATAGGAAATAGAAATAGGAATAATTATTAAATATTAGAAATAAGAAATTGGAATTATTTATTTTAAAAATAAAAAGAATAGAAAAATTAATGCATGAATTAAGAATTGGAACTAATTAATATATTTTATTCTCTTGTTAGATGTAAAATAATTTTCTTTTTAATATTAAATGTTTATTGCTATTTCTAATATTTTGTCTACTGTATGCAGAGCCTCAGAGTAATAAAAGTTAAAGTATTTTATAAAATTTATAGTACAACAATAATAAAACCGCCTAACCTCTTTACGCTTGTCACTCGTCTAGTGGCACCACTACACGAGTGTAACCATGTCACAGACACAGAGGTTGCGTTCCGTTTTGCGCATAGCACGCATTGTTCGCATCGCTAATGCTTAGCGCATTGGCTACGTTTCGTTTCATTATGCGCATGACACATGCTTTGAAACGGAACGATATTGAACGCATTAGAAGCGGAAAATCAAGGGCGGTATTCATAGTCTCTTCTTATATTCAAAATCGTCTTAAGCACGGACTTATATTCGCTCTCTTCGTCAAACATAGATTGTGTCTGACGAAGAAAGCGAATATAAGTTCGTGCTTAAGACGATCTTGAATATAAGAACGGACTATGAATACCGGCCCAAATGGATTCCACAATAAATTGCGCTATCAATGTGACTAATGTTTTTAATTGATGAAATGAGTGACAGTAATAGTAGTGAATTATCAATGACTCTTCCTATTTTGACACTTTTTACAATATTGCTATCAATCGCCATATGCAATTACGTAATCGCATGGAACGCATAAGCTGCTGCAACTCAAACTTGAGGTAGCTGATGCGTGTATTATGTGCTGCAGGTGGTGGGGATCTAGGGAATTCTAAGCGCTGTTCATGCGCGCATTGAGTGAAACGGAACGTTTTCTATGTAATTCGTGCGCATAATGTGCGAAACGGAACGCAACCAGAATCTCTGTGTGAGAATCGCTACATCAATATGGCGGAAAGCAGTCCCCCCGCACGCTTGAATTACCATCCCCTCTCGCCTAAACTAGGACTTTAGACTCGGTCCCTCTATTCCTTAGTCCGTGATGTGTTGTTTTTATGTGAGAGGCATAAAGGTTAGACTCGTGTTTGCGTGCTCGGCAATTTTTTGCTGTTGAAAATAATGGAGCAGAGAGTTTGTATTAATTTTTGTGTAAAAAATGGTATTAAGTGTTCAAAAACTCTTGAAATGTTGACAGTGGCGTACGGTGAGTCAGCTTTGAGCAAAAAAAAATGTTTATAAATAGTGTAAGACGCAAGCGATAATTGACCGATAGACGGCGCCAGCTGACGGCAGCCAGACGATCGAGTGCAGCGCCTCGATCATATCGATCCTGCGCGCACGCACTCCTGCTCCTTGTATTTTATAGAGTTAAATAAAATAACCGATGATATGTTCGAGAATGATCGAAAAAGTCGACTTGCGGGAGAACGGAGATCGAGTTCTCACTCTCTATCGCCAAACCAGTCGAAACAGTCGCACAAATCGAAATATATAGAGAGACAGTCGGGCCGATTTACTTGCATTTTAGAACTTAGCCGAAATCACAACTCTGTACATAAAAGTCGTTATTATATTGTTAATTCTTAAACTAAATTCAGTGTCGAATCATTTAAGTACCATCCTGCCGTTTTACCATTTCCATCGAAGTATCATCGCTAATAAATTAAACAAAATAACCGGGGTCGCGTCTAGGACGTAACCGTCGCAATCGTTTGAATAATCTTTGAAATAAGAATATTCCTATAAAGAAGTCGATAATCGAAAGATTTTCGTAAGGAGTCTTTCAATAGTATAAGTTATTCCAAGAGGGCCGAGAAAATGTTAACGATAAACCTCGCTCTGGACGCCCCAGCACGTCAAAAACCGACGAAAATGTTCAGGAAGTGAAAGAAATTGTGTTGAAAAATCGTCGAATCACGATTAGAGAAATAGCTGATGATCTTGTAACGGTGCGTATTTTTACGCCTCACGGGCGGTGCGTAATAATGCGGAATTTTCGACGGTATGCGGATTTTCGATGCGGAATTACGACGGTGTGTAGTTTAGCGAAGCGGATTCTTACGACGCGGAGTAACTCGTCGGTTTGCCAGAATTCGTTTGTGTGGTTTATCAGGAGATTCCAAATTAACAGAAATGACTTAAAGAAAATAAATATTTATTTTATGAGAGTACTTGGATCAGTAATATAAAAGAAAAATAGTAACAACGAGTACGTGAGTATTTTGGTTTCGGACTAATATCTCAACGGTTATAAATGTCGGCAGTAAATAATATAATTCCTTATCGGTTAGATGAGGTAATGTTTCGACGGTACATGTGTATAATTCTAATTGTGAACGGAGAATAAACGGTGTAGATCTAAACAAACTAAATTATTTAATCGGTTGGTTTTGTACGGTACGGAGCAAAGTAATAAAAAATAAGTGATACCGCGTATATCCGAGCCTTGCTGAGTCGACGACGGTTGCCGGTACGCTGTGTCCTAAGACAGTGAGAGACTTCTCTCGTGCAAGGGGGTATCGGGAGTCGAACGCCGGGAACACCCGACCGAGGCAGAGAACGCCCTGCCCCTAGAACGACGGAGAGTCGGAAGTCGAACGCCGGGAACACCCGACCGAGGCAGAGAACGCCCTGCCCCTAGAACGACGAGGTATAGGAAGTTGAACGCCGGGAACACCCGACCGAAGCAGAGAACGCCCTGCTCCTAGAACGACTATCGGGATGGGAGCGAGTACGACCGGAGCTTCAGAGTGCGCCCTGAGGCTTGTCCAAGTCGTACTCGGGGGAATGGTATCGGTCTGCTCCGCGAGCCGGCTTTTATACCGGTCGCGCTACTCCCACTTGGGGTGCTACCCTACCCGGCAGCTACCTCTTCTCGAGCTACTACCCTCGAGTTGGGGGATCGGAATGCGGCCCGAAATGGGGGTGCTCACGCTGAGGTCCGCGTGACGCTTAGTAACAGCACGCGCTGTTACAAGTATTTAGGCTGAATATCAGTCAAATCGGAAGTGATAGCTTTTCAGAAGTTTACCCAAACTTCCTGAATTATGAGCCCTTTCATCAAACAAATTTTATTTTAAACATTTTCCACGAAAATGAGTTATTTACAAGATATTCGAGGTAGGTAATTAAAATGGGACACTCTGTATATCACAATTGTATAGTTTAAAAATAGTAGTTTTATTTATTTCGTTAGTAATAATTATAATAAAATAAAGATGCAATAAAAACAATATGCAATAAAAGTTATTTTTTTAACAAAAACAGTTATCAGAAACAATCTATTGTTCAATTTGCACAATTTTCTGATGTGCTTAACTGAATGGGTTTACAAGCCAATGGGTTTGGTCAAATTGTACGTGCCGCGAGAAAATTTATCTGATATTGTGACGTTATTAAGAAATCAAAAATTTGATTTATCCGAGGAAAATGAGAAACAGGATATTTTTAAGGATTTGATGGTATCGAAAAAAGCACTGATAGAAAGATTTGAAAGAATCGTACGATATTGGACGAAACAAATACGAGAAGTTTTTGCGAGCACATTCACAAATAAAACTGGACGAACCATGTCCGAAGAATTGCAACATTGGACAGCGATATGTAAGTGTAAAATTTTATAATTTTATATCTTATGTATTAAAGGGATTCCGGAGTCCTGTTTTACCAACTTTTATTTTTTGTGAAATTCTTTTTTTTTGGCTGCGTAAAAAATCCTTTTCTATAATTAAAGTTCGTATGCTAACAGTATAGAAAACGGTCAATTTAAAAGGATTTTTTATTCCACGCAGCCAAAAAAAGAACTCCACGAAAAATAGAAAGTAAAACAGGTCGGTACCTGTAAAAACAAGTTATTTATTATTGCTTTTACAGAATTACAAATCTTTTTGTGTGATTAAAGTACACATGCTAATTGTTCGGCGGCTGGTCAAATTAAAACTAAGAAAAAAAAAATTTAGAAATTTTACCGACATGCGTTGGTTCATGTGATTCTATGAAAGCAATTAAAAAATAACATGTTTTTACGATATCGGTAAAGAGACGACTCGGGGATCCCCTTAAGAAGATAAATGTATTCGATATACATGTATATGTTATATTAATTAATTGATTAATTAGTTGATAATTAATTGATTAATTGATTAATCGACTATATTAATTTTGTATTTATTACACAAGAATGAAAATCTTATTTAAAAAAATATCGATGACTTTGAAATAACCTTCAAAATGACCTTGATACGATTTTTTAATTTTACCATTGTATTTCTTCCTTTGAACCATACAACTTCTTCCTTAACTCTTTCGCTACAGCGAAACTGGTCGCCAGTACGCCACCGTTGAACGAGACTCCGTACCATAAGCATATATTTAAAATATATATTTATAAGCTTATTTAATATATTTAAGCTTATGTATTTAAAATCATTAATACATCATCAAATTAATAACTCCTATTTCAATATATAGTAGCGAAAGGATTAACCATTTTTTCATATCTGTAACTGTCACTTATTTGAGTTGTAAGAGATAAATGGGATACTCTGTATAATTACTTCTTAAATTAATACTTCTTAAATTATAAATGATTAAAATTGAAAGATTTATATCAATTAAAATCTGAGAAATGTTTTAATTTTATCAAAGGTATTAATTTTTAGCAACTGAAATAATAATAAAAACAAACAAAATTATTAATTTTGGGAAAGTATTTTGTATCGATTATATTAATAAAAATTTAAAGTTGATTTCCTAAAAAACCGAAAAATTAGAACCTTAAAATACCAGAGAACCTAGAACTTTAAAAATCGAGAAATTATAAAGATTTAATTTTTCTTTAAAAGAAGCAACAATATTAATTTTATAAAGCCGGTTAAAGCGAAAGAGAGTCTCTATTTCTGTTATTTTCTACATATTAGCATGTATATCAATGTAAATATAATGTGTAAATAGGATTAAAATGTGGGTACAGCATTTTTCATTGTATGCTCTGAGATGAAATGTCGAATTTTTTACTTGCAGATCGTAAATTGTATTGTTTACATGATCAACTTTCAAGTAAAGAAATTCAATTGATATTGCGTCTATTGGAGAATGTTTGTTCGCCTAGCATTGATTTCTTTCAAATTTTGACGCTACAACTTCACGAAGGATTAGAACGAGCCGTATCTAATGTGACATATCTCAACGTCTTAATGAAAGCTTGTAACGATTTGAAATATGCAATCAAAATTGAGGAACACATGATAAAAATATTCTTCTTGATACTATTCATCTGGACAGAATCATCGTTTTACAAGAAGTCGTATGTATGATCGTATGATCTTTAGTTTCATATATTATTTATTATAGATATTATGAAGACATTTAAAACTTAATTAATTAATCATTTCATTAAAGAATATTGAAATATTGTAATATCACACTTGTTGACTGGCGTTGGTTTATATACACATATATATATACAGGGTGTCCGATAATTGCTGAATCACCTCTTGGGTGCAGATAGAGCGGGTTAAACCGAGTAGAAAAGTCCTCTACCGCTTTGCAATTTTTACAATAATTAATTTTAAATTAATTATATAAGATCGGCCAATTCGCGCGAGTCTAAGCACGCGGCGTGAAGAGACCCGTGGCGGTACAGCTCCCTGTTATTTGGTTATGCGCGCGACGAAGCGTTCAGAAGAACGCTTTATATATAGCAACGTATTATACAAGCGGCGCGTAGCGCTGAAACTGTCCCGCATTCTTTTCATTATCGAAAGAAATAAAATAATTAATAATAATTAGTTAATAATTAATAATAAGAAATAATAATAAATAAATAATGATAAGTAATTAATAATGATAAATAAATAATAAAAAATAAAAATAAATCTCATAGCAAATATTATTATGCTATCATTTCCACACCACCTTGCGGTAGATAGCACCAGTGCCGGATCTACACATAAGCTAGATAAGCTACAGCTTAAGGGCCTCACATTATAAGGGGGCCTCTTTAGTATAGAAAAGATTTAAAAAATGTATTTTTGTTAATAAGAGGGGGCCTCCTTAAGATCATAGCTTAGGGGCCACAAAATCGTACATCCGGCTTTGGATAGCACGGCACTATTTTTTTTTAAGTGGTATCCCCAATAGGTCTAATCCACTCTCATAATTTAATGTAAAAATTGTTCGAAGTGCCTTCCTCGTTCTCGTAAACAGAGTTCGGCCCTTCGAGAAATATTGCGCGTCGCGTGATATGCCATTTCCGGAGTGATGGTATTGAAAGCTAGAAGAATTGCTTCTCGTACTTCAGCTTCTGTACCATCACGCCTGTACTCGACTAAATGTTTGGTATGTCCCCAAACGAAATAATTGAGTACATTAAGATCTGGCGATCGCGCCGGCCAAATGATTGGGCCACCTCGACCCATCTATCTGTCCGGATAATGCGTGTTTAAAAATTCACGTACTTGACGCGAGAAATGCGCAGGAACTCCGTCGTGTTGAAAAATGAGCTCTGCTCGTACGTGGAGAGGAACATTTGCGAGAAGCATTGGTAACTCATTTTGGAGAAAATTTGCGTAAATTTCTCCAGTCAGACGCGGTGGGATGAAAAAGGGGCAAATCTGAAAACCGAAAGAGACCGAAAGAGAATCACCGAAAGAGAATAATTTGTTAAAGTTGCGAAAGACAATTCCTTAACTTTTACTAACAATAAATAAATTTATTATACTTACGATTCGGTATTTATTATACTTACAATTTATAAATATTTATGTATTAAGTATACGATAAGATTTATAAATATTTATGTATTAAGTATTATGTATTAAGTATAGATTTTTAAATTTATTATACTTACGATTCGGCCATTCCATACATGATAATCATGTCAATATATTCACTTGCAATGAACTCTATTTCCTTCTAATTGAGATTTTTCAAGAAGCACGTTGGATGAGCACCTGGATGACAAAACGCTCGTGTCGCGGCTCGTCTTTACGTGGAGCGATTCCCCGGGCGTGAGCGACATCCTGCATTCGGTACAATTTTGAGGTGCATACGACGCGGCAGGGAAACAGGAAACGTTTTGTTAAGTCAACAAAACGCTGGTGCACCAATGCATCATCGCTTGGATATAGAGGAAAGAATCTTGAGAGCATTTGAGAAGAACCCCGGGAATAGCGTGCGCTGTGTAGCTTACACGCTCGGTGTCTCGCAATACGTGGTGTATCGTACTCTAAACCAGAACGGATTGCGCCCGTATCATTATCAGCAACTTTTGCCGGGAGATGCAGAACAGCGCATCTACTTTTGTGAAGGTATTTTTATTTAATATTCTTCATTTAATGTTTGCGTTTTAATAAATATTAACAGTCGGCGAAACACAAACAGGGTTTCTCGCGCAGTGTCGGCAGAACGATTTTTTCCCCGACCGCATCCTGTGGACGGACGAAGCCACTTTCACACCAAACGGCGTATTTAACAGTCATAACTTCTTGTTATGGCAAGAAGAAAATCCGCACGCCGTTCGGCAATGCGCATTTCAATATCGCTGGTCGATAAATGTATGGACAGGAATAATAGTGGACCGAATCGTAAGTATAATAAATTTATTTATTGTTAATAAAAATTAAGGAATTGTCTTTCGCAACTTTAACAAATCATTTTCTTTCGGTGATTTTCAGATTGGCCCCTTTTTCATCCCGCCGCGTCTGAATGGAGAAATTTACGCAAATTTTCTCCGAAATGAGTTACCAATGCTCCTCGCGGATGTTCCTCTCCGTGTACAAGCAGAGCTCATTTTCAACGACGGAGCTCCTGCGCATTTCTCGCGTCAGGTACGTGAATTTTTAAACACGCATTATCCAGACAGATGGATAGGTCGAAGTGGCCCAATCATTTGGCCGGCGCGATCGCCAGATCTTAATGTACTCGATTATTTTGTTTGGGGACATATCAAACATTTAGTCGAGTACAGGCGTAATGGTACAGAAGCTGAAGTACGAGAAGCAATTCTTCTAGCTTTCAATACCATCACTCCGAAAATGGCATATCACGCGACGCGCAATATTACTCGAAGGGCCGAACTCTGTTTATGAGAACGAGGAAGGCACTTCGAACAATTTTTACATTAAATTATAAGAGTGGATTAGACTTATTAGAGATACCACTTAAAAAATGAATGCGCCGTGCTATCTACCGCAAGGTGGTGTGAAAATGATAGCATAATAATATTTGCTATGAGATTTATTTTTAT